CCCCCCCCCCCCCACAGTTGTGGAATAAACTGACATGCTGCGGTCTGCTCAGTGCCACCAGTCAATCCATCACTGGTTGTAATTGTCTGGCAGTTGTAAATATGGGGTTTTGCTACCACTGATTTTATTATCTATTATCAGAAAGGTCACAAAAGCAGGGTGGGGAATGTAAATGAAGAGTCTACTGTATATTGTCCCTGCCATGGCATGTGCAGCTGTTTGAATCACATGTTAGTGTGGGTCAGCATTTCTGAAGCTGGTGACATCCAGATGTTTTGACTCACCAGCCCCATCACCTGGTGGAATAGAAATGCCTTCTTGTATGGAAAACTGAATTAGGTAGATCAAACTCAGTTGAAATCCGTTTATTAGTAAAAAACATACTGGAAAAGCTTGTGAGTACAGGAAACATAGAGGTGACCAGTTTTCCCATTTCCATCTATTTTTCCCTTCTGTATATTCTCCATTGTTTATTCACATATCTAGTGAAATAAAGTACTTTAGATGAAGTGAAAAAGTTATATTGTATGTAACATGCTGTGGTTTAAATTTTTGTACTTATTTGTCTTAGCTCTAAACTGTTGAAGGGGAAGAATGTTAGTCAGACCCAGGCAAAACACATAATGAAAGCACTCTCTGTTCAGTTTTTTTTTTAAAGATAAAAAGCAAAACTGTTAAACAAGAATGGTTTAAACCTGATCTGACAAAGACAAGGCATAATATTAAATTACGTTTAATCTTTCTGGACGTAAGGCTATCATGTTTAATATTATCACAACTATCATAGTATGCCTTTTCTGCTTGCAAATTTTCCTCTGAGATTGCATATAGAGTTGAATGTTCAAAAAGTAGTTGGATTATAGCTTTTGCTAGATTCTGTAAAAATGTACATCGTTACTGGAATGTTTGCTTCAAGGGTGTTTAGAGCCGACTGTCTGGAACAAACTGAGGAGCCACTTGGGGAACACTGAATTTCAGTTTGCTGGCATAACAGTAAGAATTTATAATTGCAATCTGTAAATTATTTAGAAAAGTGAATTTCATTGCATTCACTTTTTTTTTGCTAGCAAAGTATAACCATTAAGATTGTAGTCCTGCAGACACTGATTTGTGGGTAAATCCCACAGAACAAAATGGGATTTACTTACAGAGAGGCATGTATAGATCCACTGTGTACTGTCTTTGTCTTCCTAATCACTGCCCTCTTTCTGTATAAGAAGTTCAGTGAATTGAATCACCATATAGCAAGTTTCAAGAACTTAAATCTAAAGTATAATTTAAAGGCTTCAGATATTTGCTATGTTGTTTTTTCTGCCTATTTGACAAAAGACAAGTATAAACTGCGAGTTTCCTAATCTCTTCCCCCTATTCTCCTTCTTTTAGGCATGGAAGAGGAGATGGTTTGTACTCCGCAGTGGTCGACTAACAGGGGACCCAGATGTCCTGGAATACTACAAAAATGACCATGCCAAGAAACCAATTCGTATCATTGACTTGAACTTGTGCCAACAAGTGGATGCTGGGTTGACATTTAACAAAAAAGAATTCGAAAACAGCTATATTTTTGACATTAACACCATAGACAGAGTCTTCTACTTAGTCGCTGACAGTGAAGAGGAGATGAATAAGTGGGTTCGATGTATTTGTGACATCTGTGGATTCAATCCTACTGAAGAAGGTAAGAAGGTGTTGTATTTTTTTTAATGTTTCACTTTTATTCCGACTCTGTTGTCGTTTAGTCAGGTCCGATTCTTCGTGACCCCATGGACCAGAGCACGCCAGGCCCTCCTGTCTTCCACTGCCTCCTGGAGTTGGGTCAAATTCATGTTAGTTGCTTCGATGACACTGTCCAACCATCTCGTCCTCTGTTGTCCCCTTCTCCTCTTGCCTTCACACTTTCCCAACATCAAGGTCTTTTCCAAGGAGTGTTCTCTTCTCATGAGATGGCCAATGTATTGGAGCCTCAGCTTCAGGATCTGTGTTTCCAGTGAGCACTCAGGTTTGATTTCCTTTAGAATTGATAGGTTTGCTCTCCTGGCAGTCCAGGGAACTCTCAAGAGCCTCTTCGAGCACCACAATTCAAAAGCATCAATTCTTCGGCGGTCAGCTTTCTTTATGGTCCAGCTCTCACTTCCATACATCACTACAGGAAAAACCATAGCTTTGACTATGTGGACTTTTGCTGGCAAGGTGATGTCTCTGCTTTTATAAGCTGCTGTCAAGTTTTTTCATCGCTTTCCTCCCAAGAAGCAGGCAGCTTTTAATTTCGTGGCTGCTGTCTCCATCTGCAGTTATCATGGAGCCCAAGAAAGTAAATAACCCTGTCACTGCCTCCATATTTTCCCCTTGTATTTGCCAGGAGGTGATGGGACCAGTGGCCATGATCTTAGTTTTTTTGATGTTGAGCTTGAGACCGTTTTTATACTTTCCTCTTTCACCCTCATTAAGAAGTTCTTTAATTACTCCTCACTTTCTGCTGTCAGAGTGGTATCATCTGCATATCGGAGGTTGTTGATGTTTTTTCCGGCAATCTTAATTCCTGCTTGGGATTCCTCCAGTCCAGCCTTTCACATGATGTATTCTGTATATAAGTTAGATAAGCCAGGGGACAATATACAGCACCTTAAGAGCATCCTCTTTTAAGATTTTAAATAGTTCTACTTGGAATGCCATCACCTCCACTGGCCTTGTTATTAGCCAAGCTTTCTAAGGCCCACTTGACTTCACTCTCCAGGATGTCTGGCTCAAGGTCAGCAACCACATTATCTGGCTTGTCCGGGATATCCAAATCTTTCTAATTCCTCTGTGTATTCTTGCCACCTCTTCTTGATGTCTTCTGCTTCTGTTAGGTCCCTCCCATTTTTGTCCTTTATCATGTCCATCTTTGCACAAAATGTTCCTCTAATATCTCCGATTTTCCTGAACAGATCTCTGGTTTTTCCTTTTCTATTATTTTCCTCTATTTCTTTGCATTGTTCATTTAGGAAGACCCTCTTGTCTCTCCTTGCTAGGAAATTCCAAACAGTTAAGTGGCAAGAACAGGCAATCCGTTGGAAACATAGATTTCTGGGTTATTTACATCTGAATCATTTGGTGGCACTTGTTACAGGATGAATCCTTTGCTGCTTAATTTGCATTAGCTCATCACAAGGGTAACCTAAGATGTCAGTATTCAGTTCCTAAGACAGGGAAGCCAAGATAGTAAGTTGCTGTAAAGACTTGGAGTTACGCTGATCTTAAGGTGAGATCTGAGCCCGAGTCTTGCAATTTGAAAGGTGCCAGTTTTGAAATTTGAATGATCTTTTTCAGGACTGGATCCTGAGTTTGTAAGGTTTCCACAGAAATTGAAATAAATAAATGTATTTTGACAGAAAATCAGTCTGTACCACCAAAAAAAGGTTGCACACACTTCTCAGATTGCTCTTACATATTTTGATTGTTTCATATGCGCGGGCCTGGCCTACATGTGAAACAAAATAAGGAGGATAAATGGGACTGTGCCACTTCTGACAAATGGGAGAACTTAACTGTTTTGACCATTTTATTAAAAGGTGCAGAAGTGAGCAGCCAGAATGACCAAGAGGCTTGAAACACCTCTGACACAGCATTTGGGGCTTTTATAATTTTTAAAAAGCTAGTAAATAGAAGAGTGGGGACATGATAAAAGCACGTAAAATAATGTGTGATGTAGAAAAATACAGTAAGACCCACTTTCCCTCTCTTGTAATACTTGGATCTGTGGTCATCCAGTGAAACAGAATGGTTAGGTGTTGGAAACAAATCAAAGTACTGTATGTGCATCTTCACACAATGCATTGTTCAGCTATTCATTTGGCTATTATTAGGTGTGGTGATTATTGTTATGACTACTACATATTATGTGGTATAGTTCAGCCCAAGCAAAACAGGTAGATGTAGCAATTGGTAAAAGCTACTGGATGTGTGATGCCAAACCATGTTGTTAAAGTCAACTACATAGCAGGCATTGCACCTAATTAAACATGGAAAGAGATAGCAGCTAATAGTGAAAGATCCAAAGCATGTACCTTAAATGCGCATCGACTCTTTGATAGCCATCCTGCCTCACCCAGATGAAAATCAAGGGATTTGTTTTCAGAATATCAGTGAATCTTGAAGGAACAGCAGAGAATGCCAGGACAATAATGTTGAAAGAACCAACTACTTTTTAAATGGATGAAACCCTAGGAGAGCATAGCCCCATGTTTCACAGAATACTGGGTTACTTGAAAGTTACTTAGTAGACTAAAGACTGGAGTTGACCAAAACTAAGTGAAAATAAGAAAACGGGGTTTTGCACTGACACAGTCCTTTGTAAGTGTGGAGAAGAACAGACAACTTCATACCAATGCTAGTGTACTCTGTGCCCTTCGACGTGGAAGGTTTTATGTTTGCTGCCCCCAAAAGCTCTTAGTGTTGCCTGTTACTGTACATACATATCTGATATACTGTGTTTATTAATTTTACTGTGGTGTTTGTGACAGGATTTCCACTATTGTCTCTGAAAACCACGCTGATATATGACAACTTTATTGTTTCTGACTGGCCTTTACAGTGTACAATATACAATACAAAAGAAAATTTCCAGTTTAAAAAAAACATGGTTAAGATAGTTCATTGAGGTGCTTATCATCAATCCATTCATGATATTTTTAAAAATGAGCATCCAGACCAGTCAATAATTCTAACGGCAATTATATAGTGTTGTGGTTCTTGACAAAACAAGAACACAGCTTCTTGGCTGCAAGCGTGAATTGAGCTACCACATATGTAACAGATGACCATTTATCAACAAGCAGTCGTACTACTGCTTCCGCAGAGGTGCAGTTGGTATACAACTGAATGATAGGTGACATAAGTCTTCTCAAGGATCCATATAAAGGAGGCACAAAAATAAATTATGAATTGAATCTTCATTCTGATTACAGCCAAAAATACATTTGCATTCTATAACTAGAATTCCTAGGGATCTGCCTTCAAGATATGCGCAAGGCATCTGTTGGAATCTAAGTTATGTAAAAGCTCTCTGCAGAGTTCAGTGCTTCAAAATAATACGGTTTTGCATAATGAACTTGAAGTTGAGAATACCACATGTCTAGTCTACCAATGGAATTGTACTTAAAGCCTTAGTAGGTCTTGCCAGATGTTGTGTTCTGCAAGCATAACCCTCAACCATCAACTCTGTGCCATGGGGAAATAGTAGAGTGAGTGAGAAATCTTGTGAAAAGTCATTGTCCTATGGTGATTTGAATGATGATTTTTTATATTATTATAATTATTATTTTTATATTATTATATAATGTATGTTTGTTGTATACTGCCCAGAGTAGCATATATATGTTGTGTGTGTGTGTGTGTGTGTGTGTGTGTGTAGCTTTCTATGCTTCTTTGTAGGCTTAATATTTAATGTTCAGTGTTGCAGCTCCTATAAATTTTCTTCCTCATGTTAAGTTAAGAATAGTTGCCTGATTTGCTTTGTGCAGATATTCTAAGTGAATCAGCTCTAAAAATGAGTTGCAGTGTCACATAGTGACTTTTCTTTGTGGCTAATTCACCCCTTTTCTATTACTTTTTCCTGCATCTGTGGATCCTTATGCTTGAGTGTGACGTCGGTTAAGCTCTTATTGTTGGGAGGTTCTTAAACATTCTAACGTTATGCAAAAGAAGTGTTGCGTGTGTTGTTTCTCACAGCACTGGTGGAAAGCTTCCACTTGTGTCTAAAGTTGAATATAGGAAACAGATCTAGCTTGTGTGTACATTACACCCACGCAGGGGTTGTTTTGGAAATATACAAACATTGTAATAGTGGTAGCAGTGACTAAGTTTAGAGAGATACACTGTTGCAAAATATCTTCCAGAGTTATTTACTGTTCCTTTCTGATTTTAGCCTTTTGCATGCAAACTAACATGAGTGGCACTTTGAAACTGGATCTCTAGGCCCCTGGCCCTGAGATAATATGTGCAGCAAAGTATCAGGCAAAATTGTTGACCTAAGGCAACGGTTGAGCCAAGACAGATAAAAGCGTGCTTCCCTAATCTATATAGGGCAAGGCAGATCTGGATTACAATGTGTTTAGTCTCCTTTAATTGTGTACCATAGTTTCCAGTCCATGCTAGCTACATTTGGATCTCTTTTGCTGAAGCAGATCCAGGAGTCAACCAGTTGTGGCTGGTCCTGGTGGGCAACCCAAACTTAGTTGTCACTAGGATGCTCCAGAGTTGGAAGGTGAGGGAGAATCTAGGGAGAGCCTTGATCTTAGCAGTGTCTGGCTGTAAGGGACATGTGAAATAGTAGAACCCCACTTATATCTTTCCCCCAACAAATAAATCACATGCCAGTTCAATTTTTAAATGGATGAGGTGTTTTTTTTCCTAGCTGAATATAGTAAATTGAGTTACATAAGGGGCTCAGCTTGGAAAAATTGCTTTGGAATATGACTCAGAAGAATCCCCCAGACAGCATAAGTTTTTTGTTTACTTTTTTAAAGGAAACATTTGCAATAGTTGTTGGTAAAAAGGTAAGTACAGTGGATTAACCTTCGCTATGGGAAAACATCGTAAAACAAAGTTTAATGCGTTCCAAATGGGCCCAAAACTCACCGTTCTCCGATGTTTTCCCTTGTTCCGGCGGCCATCTTGGGTGTACCGGCGGCCATTTTG